TACTTGGAAATACAAATTGCTATTTTTTTCACTTATCTAAATTAAAGATGATAATATTAAAGCCCAAATGGAGAAGCATTAATTTATATTTCCCACAAATAGAACATAAAAAAATTAAATTCTAAAAGAATGAAGGCCATTTTATATAAAAAATTTTGAGTTGCAATTTCTAATAGTAAAAAAAATAAAAATAGATCAATTTCTTTGAAAGGAATAAATATTGATTCTATGGGGTTTTTTTTATTTTTAATCTAAAAATCTGCATAAAGTGAATGGGTCAGGCTAAACAACAGGTATGATGGTATTTATTAAAATCGCTAGTTGAATATTGGTCAATTTCAGAAAAGCTATAATCAAGAAATTACCTTTTTAACTATGACCATAAAAACAAAAGTAATAATAGAGGAAAATCATTAATTAGCACGTGGCACTTTATTACTAGTGTCTGAAACACTAGTAAGCTGTTTCTTACCTCCCATTTTTATGACTCACTATTAGGCATGTAGCACTGTTATAAACAAAGACAATAAGTTTGAGTGCATAATAATCACTATATCTTAATAGACTCTCGTTGGTTTCGATATATGAGGATCCGACAACTTAACCAACTGATTCAGTTATGAAATTTTGTGCGATAATCTTAAGTTGCATTTAAGACCCACTAGCGAACAAGAAGAAACGAATCAAGGTAAACCGCCAGAAAACCCACACAAGTGATTTGATTAAAGTAGTGAGGGCTTGTGCAGAGCCATCCACACTTTTCGGAACTATTGATCGGTGCAAATAAATGCCACTAATTACACGCACAAAGTTATTAAACAGCAATAAAAACGAGAAATTAATTAAGAGTGCTTCACCTTTTTTAACTACTATTGTTGGCTTAACGCTTTCTTGCTTTCCATTTTAAGTTTGTAGAGAAAAAAAAACCCAAAAAAACTTCATTACATTATGTCAGAAATCTTCAACAACTATCTTTCATTGAAAAAAAAGAAAAAAAAAAAAGAAGCTTATACATAAAAAGACCGATTCCTAGAAAATATAAATTTAAATTGAAATGAAAGCAACATATATCCTCCAAATTAATCAGAAATTTATTTATCATAGACAGAAATGTAGAATTACTAAAAGACCAAATCTAATTATTTTTTAACTTTTTTTTTTTTTTTTTTTTAGTTCTATGGAAAAATGTTTCAGTGAATAAAGAAATATTTATTACAAAACACTAATTCTAGAATAAACTTAAATTAAAATATAAATTATTATTTATTCAAAATAATTAGGATAATAAAAAAATCACTTTATCAAGAATTAAAAATGTTAACTTAAGAGTAAGCTAATTAATGAATTATTAATAGTTAGAATGGAAAAAACATAGAAATCACGTATTTAGTATTTATTACTTGTGTAACAATTTAATATCTAGTATGGCACTAAAAATTTCAATAACTGTAGTGTAAAGACAAAACATAACAAGCGCACAAGGGGGGGGATATATAAACTGTGCAAAAGGCAACATAAAAGCAGGTGATTGTCAAAGTGAAAATTGTTTTTATAAAGTGCAAAACGTAAATAAACAATACACTTTGCGTGAAAATATTTTAAAAACTTACTATTTTCCAAAATATTTTTTTACTGAGGATTTACGTGTATAAAAAGACTTACGCTCATACATTTTTAGTGATATTTTTTTGCCATAGAACAGCAAAAATTTATGAAACGAAAAGCAACAACAGATTTAGGCTGAGCAACAAACTAAGAATTATGAAACAAACTTTGCTATAAACTAGCAAACATTTTCCTTTTTTATACAGATAAAAATCGGTTGTCAATAACTTCTTAAAAAAGAAAAAAAGAATCTTTCAGGAAACTCTTCAGCAAGCTTATTGCAAAACCCTGTATGCAGATTGTAAAAGAAATACCAATAAATAATCCATTCATTATTATTACCGCCCATATAAATTCAGAGTAACAATCGAGTAAAAAACAAAAAAAACATACTATGTTCTGGATTAAATTCTGGTTAAAGTAAAGATACAAAATTATTTTTCATAGAAGGGAACATGTCAACTGAGATTATTACAGAATAATGCGTACAATAAACTGAAGATTTGAAAATTTTTTTCCAATTCTACCCCCAAAACGAAAGATCAACATACATTTCCATCATATAAAAAAAAAAAAAAAAAAGAAATTAGAGATCCAATACATCAAACAATCTATACGACCTAATATCAAAGAACCCACCATAAAAATTTAGTTAACATTGAAATTTAAAAATGTCATAATTTACACATTAGAATTATCCTTCAGATCGCAGTTTAATCACCAATTTTGAGACATTCTAGCGCCAAGTGTTCGTTTATCTTAAAAACAAAATAAATCTCATAATGGACAGTGTTCAAAGATCATTATTAAACAGTTAAAAGAATGTGGTAAATACAAAATAAAAATGTAGTCGTTGAGAGGGAGGGATTTAGAAAAAGAAAAAGGCATGCTGTAACATTTTTTTGATTTCACAAGAAAATCAAATTTGAATCCCGACCTTACCTGTCGCAGATTTATTTTCTATAATTTTATATTCGTTCCATGCCACAATCTTCTCGGGAAACTGATTAAAATAAGATTTTTTCGAAACATTTAACTTTTTTTTTTTTTTTTTTTTATTTATTTTAAAGGGCGGGTATATTTGTTGTATGTTCTTACTGCAAAATATTCAATAAATAAAAATATTAATAATACTGATATTCTTTTTAAGAGTAAAAAATGATAACGGCTCAAGAAAAAAAAATCCTGCTTGTTAAGTGCACACATAATCAGGTGGTGGTGGCTGCCATCATCAGAGCCCTTTTATAAAGAGCAATTTTTTTTTAAAAAACCTTTTAAGTGGGTACTTAAGGAAATCTACATCTATGAAGCATTAAATACTGAAGATTAAATAGGCTTTTTAAAGATTGACTAAAACAAAGGAACAAGCGGAAAACATGCGTTTCTTAAAATATACAGCTACAAATCTCAAGGTTAAAAATAAGAAGGTCGATTTGATAAAAATGGTAGTTTTAGCAAGCTTTCTAATAAACTAAAGATAGCATTTTAGTGCCCTTTCGTACAAATTTAAATCTATCAACAAAATCCAAGTGATAAAAAATAACACAGCCCTACCAGAATCACAATGAAAGTAAAGTTTAGTTAGTAGCAGTTTAATGTCTGATCGTTATAGAAGTTGGAGGAAAGAAAATAAAAAAATAATAATAATAAAAGGCAAGATTTATTGTCATCCAATCTGCAAATCTGCATTGATTCAATTATATATTTTTTTAATTTTTCTGTAAGGCTACAAAAATTTAATTATAAGTATTTAATTGCATCGATTGACCAGAAAAAAAAATATGAATCACCTTAAAGTGTATCAATTTCTTTTAAAGCGGAATTGATTTTTTTTCATTAGCATCAGATTTAACATTTTTATTGATTAGAAGAAAAAAAAAAAACAAATTGTAGGAAATTAAATTTCAAAATTAAGAAATGTCACGAAATTGAAACATTTTTACGGAAACATCAAAAAATTATATTAAACAAAATAAAACTTTGAATCTTGATAGATTCAGATGTAATATTTATTTTAAAGTTCATTAGAATTTGTTTTTCCTGTACTAACAATCTGAAAATCTATCAAATCCTTAGTCTTTTAGGTTTTTTTTAACAGCAAATTAAGGAGTTAGCTTGTTTTTTTTTTTTCTCTCAAATCAACTTTATTTTGAAGAAATAACCAGTTTCTACCTCTTATAGTCTTATTCATTTAAAAATATACAAAATCATTAACATTAGAAAATAGAATACAAATCTTGAAATAACCTTAAAGTCCATGACATTTTCAGTTACTTAAAAAAAAAAGCATAAAAAAATACCCATCAACACTTTAAATAGTTTCTTTGTACCGTGTGGAAGTTAATATGCAAACAAAACGCTTTCACTTAAGAAACACAGGTTGACTAAAACCAGGAAAAATATGAAATAAAATAACGAGGAAGACAGCAAAATAAGGTTACTGCTACTATCCACCATAACTAGTTACAAAAGTAAAACAATTTTTCTACATAAAACTAGTAGTGTTTGTTACCTTTATTTTCAACTAAGTATCTCAAAAATAGTAAAAATTAAAGAAAAAAAACTTTGAGTGACGTATGCCTTTAGTCGAGGTAGACAAAATATGCACGGAATATATAAAATATAAAAATGAAGTAACCAAAATAAGAGCAAAATGGCTGACTCGCAAGATAAAATATAAACTATCACGGTAGCCATTTTCAAACCAAGTATAGCAGCAAAGATCCCCAAAATTTATTGGTAAAGAAAAATGATCAAAATTTATTCTCTAAAAGCAATAAACGATCATAAAAATTAAAAATAGAATTAGTAAAGACCGCAAAAAAAACCTTAGTGAAATTATTTACAAGACAACCGATACATCTATCCAATATCAATTAAAATAAAAACCGAGAATCCCATCCAAGAGACGAAGAAGAATACGCCATTTTGTCCCTTTTTAGTTGTCGATGGCGTTCGTTGTGTAGGTGGCTTCAACGCGGAAACAAAGAAAACCTAATGACAAAAAATTGAATAAATGTACCTTAATATAAGTAAAGTGATTCCAAAAGAAATTACTTGAATTGGTCTTCCTTACATGTAATTCCAATAAGCTGCAAAGAAAGCTTTTTTTTTTTTTTTTTTCTTAAAACACCCGTGTGTCGCTAAAGTCAGCTTGGCTCATCATTCGTTCAGACCGAGGTTAGTTCCGCAGATAATATTTAAAAATCAAAACGAGGGAAAATTTTTTTCTTGTATATTAAGCAAAAATACACGATAAATATTTTTTTATAAATATTTGTTTAATTATCTATATATGAATTCTAGGTTAATATAGCTATAAACAATTCTGATTGATTTATTAACTGCAGTTCACGGAAACTGGTGGCGCCTAGACAACAGTAAACAAAACTGACATGGCGGCTGATGATTTTATTTTAATAATTGTTCCGATATTAATTGTGGTATCAAACGTGATATGTGATTATTCGATAAAGTATGAAAGCGTTGAGTCCTGTCAGCTTGTCCGCGAACAGAATGAGTACAATTATTACTTTGATACATCTCAATTGAAATGTGAAAAATGTCAACAGAAGAAAGAAATCCAAGTCACGTCTACCAACGGTAAGGAATTGAAGAGTGCAAAATTGTGTTTTTTTGTGAAGTCAATGCAAATATTTCCTGCAATTTTATTTTGTACGGTATCAAACTTAGTACACATGAGAGAGAGAGAGAGAGAAAAAAAAAAGAAATAGTATTTTATTTTTCATTTGTTTTGTAACTTTTTTCTCATCAAACGAAATTGAAATTAACATCCATTTAAAAAGGAGGCTAATTTAAGGAGGCAAGTTAATTAAAAAATTACAATTTAAATATTTTTTTATTAGAACAAAGTTGTACCCATTTTCAAATTAATGTTCTTAATTAAATTTTAACTAAGTAAATACTTCATGAATCAAAAAAAGGGACACTAAGTTGAAAACTATCTTTCTTCTCAAAAAAAAAAAAAAAACCGTAAAAATAAGTATTTTTTTTTTTAATTTAAAAAAATACGGCGATAAAAAAATAATAAAAATAAAATATGGAAAAAAAAAAAGTATGTTTAATTAAGAAAACATTTTTTTTATTCAGTTGAATAATGTTAAAAATCAAACCATACTGTGGGAAATTTGTCCTGCCTTTCCCACATAAAAGGGTTAAGAAGATTAAAGGTGACAGAATTGATAAAAACTACGGCTTGAAAGTTTAGTACAGACTCTGTTTTAGGTGGAAGAATAAAGACTTAAACTCCTGCTCAGAGTGTAACGATAGAAGAAAATGTTAATACATACACGGAAAAAGGTAAAGGGATATATGTACAAAATATGAGTGAAAGAAATGGACAAGAAAATTCCTTTAACAGAACTGAAGGATGAAAAAGTTTTCATATAAAAGCTTGCTCAAAATATTTCTCTGCGTGCCTAAAAGTTCTTTAAGTAAATTGTTCTTAAGGGGTTAACACTCACATAAGATTTCTTCAGAACTCTTTTTGAGAAGGAAACAATCAGAAGATTTGTAGTTGAGTGAGTTCATAGGCAGACATGAATTTTAAGGTTCTAAGAAGCAAATCACGAGTAGTTTTAGAAGAGGGCTGATGTTCTGTCTTTAGAGCCCAGCATGTAGAGTTCTTCTTTGAAACAGGTTCCGAAGATGACTGGAGTTACTGTCGCTGGCCTGATGTTATCACAGACAATTTCCAATACTCACTGCCAAAGAGGCATATATTCTTTGTATTTATTGAGATTAGAAGGCTCAGAAATATTGGGAACTTTTCCCTTCAAAATTAATATACACTTTCCCAGCCCTCTCATTCATCAGAAAATATATTCTAATCTTTGATAAGAATCAAAGGTTTGGAAGCAAGGATCTGATAAGTTGTGAGCGTTACAGACTTTATGGCACCATAGTCAAATTAATTTTTATATTTTCCACCTCTCTCATTTTTCAGAAGATATATTATTTCTGATAAGGATCAAGGTTTTGGGAGCTGGATTTGAAAACGGGTGAAAGTCGAGGCAAAGATCAGAATATGAACTTGTAAAACATTGTAGTAGTGGTTCTCAAATTAAATTCTAATAATAGTTTTTATTCAGTTGTGTATCTGATGCTACACAATGATGGAACTACCAGGATGGAACTTGAGCTATCCGTTAAAGTTCTTTTGTGTTTAATTGAACATTCCCCCCCCCTAGAAATCCTTTTTCTCCACAGATCATCTTTATTTTTTTTACTGTGAATGTCTGTTTAATACTAATTTATGGAATCAACTTTTTAGTCCTTATACTTTTTTCTTCATCTCACCCCAAGCGAGGCAATAATTGCCACTGGGATGCAGGGGGTTATAGGGAGTGAAAGCAAATGAAAAGACCAGTGAGGAAAGGTCAATAAAGGAACAGGGTTTTGGAAGACAGAAGATGGTGATTGCCATTGCATTTAGATTTTTGAAAATTATAGGTGGTATGGAAACAAGAAATTGGGAGAGAGTTCCACAGATGAGATGTGTGAGAAAAGAAACTGTTAGAATAGAAGTGGCAGTTGCATTTATCTAGTTCAACCATTAAATGGTGAAATCTAGTAATATTTTTAAATTAATGTAGTCAAGGCACAAGGGGGGAAAAAGCTCATCAGAACAGTTTCCATGAAAATATTTGTAAAAAAGACAAAGGGAAGCCACATCACATTGGTGAGAAAGTGACTGAAGTTGAGATGCCAGTTCAGTATTGATTACAGATCTTTCTTTGAATTTTGTCAAGAATCTCAAAATATACAGCCGGAGCACCAAATCAGATATGGCAGCAATATTCAATGCATGGATGAATAGTACAGTTTATAAATGCCCAAGATGAATTCTGACAAGAAAGATTTTCCTTCACAACAGTGAACCAACATTCCTAGCACTAGACCTAGCAATTGGTTCAATATAATCACTCCATGTCTGTAGAAAACATGAGCCCAAGACTAACAACAGATTCACTTTGAACAGCTTTCAGTCAGTAATTCATGCAAAAGAAGAATCTGTATACCTTTAATACTGAAGGGTCTTCATCTGGTGAACTTTTTCAGCCATTTGTGAACATTAGAATTTTTTGCAACATGCTGCCACATGTTGAAATCCTCACAGTATTTAGTATTGTTAAAGTTATTGCTAACATTTTTTTACATTTCGTTCAATTTCACAAACCAATCGATGAAATTTAAATAAGTTGATTTGTTTGGAAAAATACTTTGACAAAAGCCCTACTTTGCAGTTTAATAATTTCTTTAATTTTATAGGACTTCATAGTAAACAATAATTTTTAAGAAAATTACTTTGTTTTTTGTTTTTTTTTTTCCTTTTTAACAGCGAAGAATAAATTCTTAGGATTTCTTACTCTTGAGCATGCAACTCACAACTGGTCATGCATAAATATTTATAAATATTTCTAGAGCGAAAGTCTAACTTTTTGAAGCATTTGGCCTTGTGATTTGTTTATCGTTCTCGCAGACACAGGCGAACTGGAAACTGGATTCTTGCATATATAAAGATATGCAAAAAATAATTGCATTTTTATTAAATAAGTATTTGTTATTTTAATCATTAAATTGCTTTTGAATTAGTAGGAGTATTTTGTATGTTAAATAATAAAACTTTTAATTTTTCCCAAAAAATTAATGAAAAATTATTGTACTAAGCTGCACACCCTAGTAAAACCAACTGTACTTTGTACCCCCGTATCTGTTTTCACTTCTCCCCATAATTTGGTATTGATCAGTCAATGTATGGCTATTTTAGAAGATGTGATGGACTAACAGAAATCACAAAATTTTATATATTGATAGATTACTATGTACAAAATTCTGTAACCAGTGCGTGTACTGGTGCATAGAATCGACTTGTAAATCAATTCCCTGCTCAAGACCTCACTTTATTATCAAAAACTTGAATCAAAACTCTCATTAAATAAGATTTTTTGCAGTACATATACATAATTTGATTGTCATTCTTCACAGAATAACTTTAATAGGTAACTGAATGACAAAACAGAAACCATCCTATGTGACATGTTTTGTCCTTCGTAAGTAATTCTTTAGACTAAATAATGTTTTTATTGATTGAATTATATATATATATATATGTAAGAGAGGGAAGGAAATAGAAACAAATGTTACTTATAATTATACATTGACAGAAACCCTGAAGATGCCAGTCTTAATTTTAAGTTTTGAAATATTCCACATTGTAATAGCAGTAATTTTAGGTAAGGCAATATACTGTATGGACCTAAACATAAATTTAGTGTGGAAAACTCGGAAATTAGTGTACTTTATCAACGTAATAAATCAATTTTGCTTTTAATTAAAGCAACATTCTTTAAGAATAACACAGGATTTAACTTTTAAACTAGACTCTCTTTAATAGATAAATCCTCTGTTTTTCTGGTCTTTCTTTTAATCTTTTCTATCTTGTTATTGTACACACCTTCCATGTTTTTTTCATTTATTTTGTAACAAAATTTCTCTTGAGGGCATTCACAAAACCTTAATTCAACTGAAAACCTTGGCTTAGTTGCAGTGGTCACTTCTAGAATCAACTTACCAATTAGTGATCATCTGTACTGGATGTGAAAATGAAAGGTAATGCTTATAAAAATTTTGATTTTTTCTTTGCACAACTGGTTTGATGCATAGCTTCAAGTTGAAATATAAATTAAGGACTTCAGCTAATGAAAACTTTTTTTAAGAAAAAAAAAAAAATTTGATTTTAGAATATATGATGATCTATAAGTAAGCAAGAAATTTTGAGATCTTATTTTTCCATTACCATACAGGTTATGCCAGTTTTTTTGTCTCCAGAATTTCAACCTCCATTCTAATACCATGTGAACTACTTCTCCACCTTCTATGGTATTGTTTAAATTTGTAATTATTAATGTTTATCATTATTTTTTTTAAGTGAACTCATCTACCAAAAATGATTTACCATTGTAACTTTAAAAAGTTTCTCAAATATTTTAGACCATTGCTTATGGCAATAAAAAACTGACAATAATATAGAATTATTTCAAAAAGCAGAATAAATGCAAATTTTACTTCAAAATTAATCTTTGATTTTTTTTTTTTTTTTTTTTTTTTTTTTTTTTTTTTAAAGCCACTAAGACATGAGGAATTACAGGGTGTGGAAGAATTAGGAACAGAAACATTAATAATGAGAGGAAAGAATAATCAGGAGTACAGTAGATAGTGAGTGACATTGCATTTAAATTTTTGCAGATTAAAGTTGGCTGGAAAGCATGGAGCTGGAAAGGAGTTCCATAAGCAAAAAAAAAAGACTTAGCATAGAATTTACAGTTACAATTAGCCAGCTCAACTATAAATTGATGAGATCTCAGTGCCAGTTTAGTACTGCGCTTAAATTCAAAAATCTAGGTACTATAGCGATTTATGTCTGGCTTTATCTGTTATCAGTAGTAGGCTGGCATGTGTGATCTTCCTTCTTTCTCTTATAGTTAATTGTTTCACAGTTCATTTTTAATGAGAACAATGCTTTGCTATTACATTTAACCTTTACCTTGGACAGGCCTGAATTGATGGAAACCAATTAACTATACATACAATGTAAACTTTACAATGCATTCTAGTAATCACAAAAGATATACTAAACTTGTATTTTTTCTTGTAAACTATCAACTAAAATGATAGAATTTCCGAAGAAGGTATCTTGTGATTGATATGTATTATTTACTTTTCATTTATGTGGTGAGCAAAATAAATAGTTCTTATTTCGTATTCCTTATTCTTGATAAATCACTTTCCATAAGATTTAGAAATTTCTTATCTAATTGTTACTATTTTTTTTTTTAATTCAAAATACATTTGAGCAAACCTGAAGAACTCATGATGTAAAACATTGTGATAAGAACAAGGATATTAGTTTAATTGATTTATGGAATAACAACAATATTATGTGTGCGCTATGTGAGAAAGGTTTATTCTACCATTTGTGTTTCCCTCATTATGGGCATTATTATATCCATGATAAAATAACACTGTATTTCACAGATGGAATGGTTGAAAAGAAAAGGAATGATAAACATGCTTATTTCTCATAGAGTTTTATACCACTACACCATACACAAAATTATATATGCAAGTTTACATGTATGACCCATGTAGAACTGTTAATAACATATATCTACAAACCATTTTGAAAGGAGAAAGAAAAATAGGGTTTAAATAATATGGAGATTCTTCTGTGTTTTGGAGAAACCATATATAAAAAGGGAAACGGTGTTTTTGGGCTTTAATCTTGATGCACCATGTGATTTGAAAAAGTATGAACAACTCCTTTATCTTCTCTCAGACTGATTGACTGCTATTTTCATCAATGTACGAAGTAACGTCACTAAGCAACTGTTATGTGACCCACATGATTTTCTCTTCACCAAAGTATACCTATAAATACTTAATTTTAGAAAATATTTGTCATTTTAGTGTGCTCACCTGTCTCTCCTACTAAAGAAAACAACTCAAAATGGCTTAGAGCCATATCACGTTGACACATTGTTTCCGATATGATTAATAAAGTTAAACAATATTGAGCCTGGTTAGTACCTAAATGGGTGACTGATTGGTAATACCAGGTGCTGTAAGTTTGGATGTGTAGGTAGTGTAATTGGATAATGGGTCAGAATTGTTAATCGGAGAGCCGAGTTTCAATTCCCATTAGGTTCATTATATTCACTTATGTGCAAATACCCTTGGGAAAGGTATGAATCCACCTCTTCTCTACTCCAGTTATGGATTAATTAGTAAGACTTGTATCACTAAACCATTATTATCTCCAAAAAACAAAATTCTTACAATCTAAAAATATTTCTGGCTTTAAATAACCTGCAAAGGTTTGATAAGCTGTAGAAAATGAATCAATAAATAAATCAACTCAAAATAACATTGCAGTTTGTTTAGATATTTTAAATATTTCTTAAAAGAAAAAACAAGGACTTTTTTTGTCTGGTAAGGGTTATAAAGAAAGAATTGCCTGTTGTTTTTATAATATTAACTCAAGTGGGGTTACAGGTGGTGTAACAATTAATACCACAAGAAATGAAATTGACATACTGAGTTCAAACTCTCAATGGGACAGTTTACATTCACTTTATACTAATCCCTGTAGGTGGCGATAACATCTACTTTTTTAATATTACTGGGAAAGGTATTAACTCTAATGGGTATTTGATAAACCATTAAAAAAAATCAAATTGGTTCTATAATGAGTAAATAGTAGGGTTGTCCATTTTGGGTATCAGGCTTGTACTCTGGTGCCATGAAAATTCACTTGCTACTGAAACAACAATATCGTTCACTTAATGTAGTTGTGACCCTATACTTCACAAGGATTGTACAGAGATGAACAACAAACAGCATTGAGTCCTGACACATGGGATATTTCTCTACAACTACAACAAGATATTACTTCCAACTGACTTGGCAAAGGGATTTAAAACTCCTGCTTTATTTTTTTTAAGGAGATATTGAGAAACTGTCAACAACTTTGAAACAGTCCATAATTTCACAATTAACTAGGCTACATTTCTAAATTTCATTAGAAACAGAAAAAAATGCTGAACTGCTATATAATATCAATCTGAATGCCGGACAATTTCTTTACTTAAGAGAAGACTTGAGGCAACAGAGATATGGTTCTACAAACATGGGCAGAACGTGTTGGCATTGAAGAAGTTTTAAAGAAAATGGGAATAAAAAGGACACTTAGTATCAGAAAGAGACAGCTGAAATTTCTGAGACACATAATGAAGAAAGAGGATTGGAGAATTTGACACTCACAAGACATGTTGAAGGCAAGTATGGCAGAGGAGAAGCAGTGAGTAATCTACCTAATGAGCTTGTGTAAATGAATGACAGAATAGGTACTGGAAAGGATAGTAAGGAAACATTGCTAAAAGCAGGAAAAAATAGGAAGTTGTGGAGAGCCGTAATTATGTTCTGAAGAGACCCAACACATAAAAGAAAAAGCTACTTTTGTTACAAGGTGTGATTACTATCAATAGTTTGTGAAATAGTGTCAATTCTCATACTAGTGTTTAGAAGAATACTTGAAATTGAGCCTGGCACATCTTTGGATCAATTACAGAGTGCCCAGTAAAAAAAGCAGTAAATTCAGAAGATGTGAGACAACTGTTGGAAACTGGTGACAACTGATGTGACTGAAAAATTTAGGAAGAATTTCTGTACATTTTATCAATTCTTACATCAGATGTTGTTCTTTACCATTACATGGGAGTACTGCACCATGTATTTTATCTTTTGTTGGCAAAAGGGACATAACTCCTCACTTAAGAAATATATTTTAAGCAAATCAATTATAAAAACGAAATGATAGACAAAAACATTTCAGTGTTCAATGAACAAAACATTTTTTTATTTATTTGAACTTTTCTCCTAAGGATTTGGTGACTAACATTGATAGTTTTGTTTTGAGGATATTTATTTTTTTTTAATAATTTTTATGCTTTCAAAAATATTTTAGAATTATGTCAGTCTGTCTTATTTATATTTTATTTCTTCCAAATATATTTTTAAAAACTAGTTTTAGTTTCTGACTGAATTTATTGGAATAGGAGTTCAAAATTATTTCTAATTGGGACAGTAGCATAATATTAAAAATATTGCTTTGTGAATTTGGGGACATAGTAATTGAGAATTCAACCCCTCTGCCAGGTAATACAGGTTCATACCCAGTGGAAACAAGACAAGCATTAACTGAGCAGTACTAAAAAAAATAGAGCAAGATGAAATATTCCTAGACATGGACAACAGAACAAGAATTATTTTCCCCTTGTAGATTAAATAAAGGGTTCAGTTTGGAATTCCTTGAAGGTTACCCAGATTGATAGACATCCAAAGAAAGCTGGAGGGTACCAAAATATAGTGATGAGGACATTAGTTTTATGAAAGTTTTAAGGGGGCAAGTTTTGCTGATTGGGTTGTGAAATAATAGTTGCCTGTTCTGCAGATAGTGAGGTCCTACTATAATGTTATTACTTTACAATTTGAATTTTGCAGTAATATATAAAATGAAGAAGAATTTCCAGTGATGTGCAGACTTAAACAAGGATGCATCTTGGCATTTATGTTATTCTCCTTGGATCTGGTTACGATGCTTCACAAACTTCCTTCAAACAATCTAGGAGTTGATATCGATATAATGGAGGACTTTTCGATCTTAGCAGGCTTTGATCTAAACATCTAACGCACACACAACTCTCAGAATTTCAATATACTGATGACAACACTGCCCTCTGTCATTAAAAGGAAGAACTCCAACAGTCTGTGAACAAATTTGCTGTGGCCTACCATTGTTTTGGCCTTACAGTAAATATCAATAAAACCAAGGTCTTTGAACAGGTAGCCCCAAATACCATTTTACCATATTCTGATTTTAACATCTGTGATAGACTCCTAGAACAAGTAGAGCATGTTTCATATCTAGGCAGCCTTTTACCAAATAAGTACACCTCAGAAAAGGATGTGGAACACAGAATTGGAGCTGCATATGAGACCTTTGAAAAGTTAATCAAATGCATCTTCAACAACAAAGATCTGAACTTAACAACAAAAATTATGATCTATAATGCTGTTGTAATTTTTATCTTTGCTATATGGTTGCGAAATCTGAACTCTATATTGTGGTGATATCCAAAAATTAGAATGCTTTCACCTGCAAAAGTTTTGTTCAATCTTTGAATAATCAAATGGAACTACTATGACCAACACCAAAGTCCTGGAAAGAGCCAACAGTCAAAAGCATTGAATCACTGATCATTAAACTGTCTTTGATGGTCAGGACATCTACAAGAATGGAAGAGTCAAGGTTTCCACATTGTCTTATTCAGTGAGTTCACTTCAGGGAAGAGATCACAGGATGGCCCTCTTTTAATGATACAAGAACCAAATCAAAACAACACTGAAAGCCACTGGACTTGTGCCCAAATCATTTGAAACCCCACATGACAAAATTTTAACTGGTGATGTTCCATCACCATTGGATTTAAAAAACTTTGAAGCCACCAGAAGAGAAAAGGAAGAAGTCAAACAAAGAACAGCTTGACAAAATTGACTTTGTCCAATACCAACATTACTATGTAATCAATTTCATCAACTCTTCCATGTAAGAATTGGTCTATTTAGTCATCAATTCCATCATCATAAAGGAAGTGATCAGAAAAGAAGGAATTAAATTCTTGGATACGAGATAAAGCTGTTGCCAACAATGATATAAAATTTAAACAGCCTTTTAAGTATATCTTGTCTTACATTGTTTATGGTGATGGGAAATGCCTTTGTGGTCAGCTATGAACTTTTCAGCACTCCCTCATATAACTGATTTCTTTTTCGTTTTTTTAATTTAAAATATTTATATTTTGTGCTATTTTTTATTTGTATTTTTCTTATATATTTTTATATTCAGTGACCTGTCCTTTTAACTCTTAGTAGCTTTTAGGAAATATAAAAATCTATTACATTTTATCTTGCAGGCTACTCATGTAAATGCACCTCACGTTACAAATACAAAAATGTCTTTGGAAATGGGAAGGTCATGTGTGAGTTGTGTCCAAATAACCAGGTTTGTTATGGCAAAACTTCTAATTTCTTACTTGTCTATTTTTTTGCTGAGTGGTGAGAATGTTGGATTGAAAGTGGAAGTTAATGTTTTTTATTTGTTTGTTTTTTTTCTAGAAAAGGACAAGTTGTTAATAATAATAATATGAGACAAAGGATGTGGAAAAAATAACATGGCCATAAGAGATTTTTTTTTTGATATTTTTAATATTTGATATATACATTTATTTGGAAATAAAATATTCTTTTTATCTTTTGTATTATGTAACTAGTTGGTTTTGTTTTTGCCATCATTTACTTTTGTGGAGAAACGTCATAGCATCTTAGTAAGATTTATCAGAAATTTTGGAACACTTTGAAATAAAGGAACAGAATCAAAGATATAAACGAACAATATATTTTTATTTAACTGACTTCAATATGAGTGACTCCTTTATAAATCTGGTTGCTGAAAGTTTGTTAATGTTAGGCTTGGTAGTTGTTAATATGAGTCAGACTTTGACAGTCCTCATCATCTTTTCGAGCAGTTATAGCTTTTAAAAAATTTGGTTACTTTGGAGACATGTTTTGGCACAAATATGCTGATTATATAGGTCTTCAAAAAGGTAAAAAATGTCTATCAATATGATAGACAAATTTCCAAAATTTCCTATATATATATCCAAATATATTTATACATAAACATATATATATATATATATATATATTTGATTAAATAATATATATATATATATATATATATATGTGTGTGTGTATGTATAATAAAATTATTGGTAATCTATATGGAATTTCCAAGAGGATATAGATTTGTTGAGAGCTCTATGTTAAAGACAGCAAAAATTATTATTATATAATGAAAAACAAACACTTAAAAAACCATTGGTGATATTTATTTCATTGAAGTCAATAAAAAACAGCTTGAAATCTTCAGACATGTAAACCAAATGGAAATGGAAAAATTCATTCCAGGTTTAAAAAATAAGAATAGTGATTTCATATTGAGAAAGTGGGGGAAAGAAAGATGTAAATTTATTATCATGTAGGAAGGGAGCGGTGAAAGGAAATGGTATGTATACATGCATTGACAGTGAGACCAAACAAGTTTGTCTCAGTTGTATTAACTTCAGCCCATTTCCTGTTTTTCATCTTTCTTTACACCTCTTTTACATCTTTCATACATTTCCCTCTCACCTTTGTTTCTCACTCCCATATATACACTATCACTGGAATTTAGTTTTTTTAAATGGGGAGATATTTTCTTTTTGAATTTGTAGGTTTGATAAATTGGCTTGTGATTACCATTCCAATGTAATAAATTATAACTATGAAATATTATCAAATCCATAAGTGGTAAAGATAATCCAAGTAGGTCTTTTTAATATAAAATACTAAAATTTAGAGCCATGAAGAGTGCTCACTGTATTTATATACAAAGCAATATGATATACATCAAGATGGAAAAAATTTAATACATCATCAAAGAATTTGGTAATAAATTTATTTTAATAGATAAATTTTTAATATCTGCCTCATCAGACCCAAATTACAAAATGGTTTAAATTTATCCGGACAATTTATTGAACGTAAGCAAATGACAACATATATTATGAAATGGACTAAGTGTGACAATTATTTAATATATTTTCCGTTTATACGTTATTTTTATATGTTGGAGGACACATATTTTCTATGAAGTTTTTTAGACATTCAGGCTGCTAAATTTGGTTAATACTGTTTATTATTAATAGAACATTTACTTAAATGCTAGTACCTATAAAAATAACATATTGACAGAAAATATATTAAAATAATTGTCAGACTTAGTCCATTTCATTATATATGTTGTTATTTGTTTACGTTAAGGTATGCTTTGATCATTCGAGAAAAATAATGGGAAATTTGTTGTTTAAAAATAGTAATTCAACTTTGCTAAACAGATGCTTCCTCTGTAGCTAAATGGTACATCATGTCCGGTCAAATGACGCTCCTGTGTAGGATACAGGTTCAACTCCTGTCAGAGGACACATATTTTCTATGAAATTTCTCGGACATTCAGGCTGGTAAATGTAGTTCAGAGCATTTACTTAAATATTTATGTCTATAAAAATAATGTATAAACAGAATATATATATATATATATATATATATATATATATATATATATATATATATATTTTATTTATTAAGGCATTTTATGTTTGTCCGTTGTTATTTTATAGATACAAGTATTTAAGCAAATGCTCTGTTTATGATAAACAGTATTAAATAACATTTACCGGCCTGAATGTAAAGAGAAATTTTCATAGAAAATATTCGTTCATTGACAGGATCTGAACCTGCATCCTATACGGAACCGTCATATTCAACATATGACGTGCATTTGTTTTTTAGGATAAAAAGAAGCGAATATACGAGATTCATGGAATTTTGTTTTTAAACTCCAAAATAAAACCGAATCTGAATTTCTTTGTGGCCTAGAATGTAAAGGCACGTCATATTTATATGACGGTTCCGACAATAGGATCCAGGTTCAAATTTTGTAAAAGAACGAATATTTTCTATGAAAATTTCTCAGGACATTCAGGCCAGTAAATGTTATTTAATACTGTTTATCATAAACAGAGCATTTGCTTAAATACTTGTATCTATAAAATAACAACGTTAAACATAAAAATATGTCTTTAATAAATAAATTGTCGGACCTTGTCCATTTCTTAATATATATATATATATATATTTATATATATATATATATATATATATATGAATATATATAATATGGAAGATTTTATATTTCAATACAAATATATTTTTATTACTTTAAACATTATTTTTAGTTGTATTCATGTTTGAGTAAATGCTTCATTTATTTTAAACAGTATTTATTTAGTTTATTGGTATGTGTACTTGGTTATAAAAATTTTGCTTTCCTACCAATTCCAAGTTTTTGTGCCAGACACAAAAATTAGTTGGTATAAACAGCAACTCTCAAAATAGGCTCACCTTAAAAAACAAAATGATCACTGTGCAAAATTCTAAAATATTTGTTTTTATTTATTTACAATTACAAAATGAAAAAGTACAAAACAAGAGATTGCACAAAAATTTCCTTTTGTCCATGTCTCTTTGAAAGGATAAATACATTTATTAAATAAAAAAGATTATATGGTTTTCAGAAAAGGAAAAAAATACAAGTTACAAAAATGTTAATAAAAGCAATGGATTGATATACAAAATATATCCCTTCAAAAATACAAAAGTAAGGGAAAACTTGGATTCAGAACCTTTTGAAATATGGCACAAGGCATTTTAATTTTAAAAGACAACCAACCTTTGTTAAAAAGCTGACTTAAAGAATAAATCTTTGCATCCAAAGGAGATTTGATGTAGGATAAAAATATATTATCTGGGATGGGAAAATTTGTTATATGAATCTATATTTGGATAAAATGACTGTCTTTTCTCACTGGACAAACTTTTATATGTCTTTTGAAATATGCCCTGCCCAAAGTTGATCCTCTGCTGTTTATTTTTCAATCCCCTAGTTAAAAATATGTTTTTTTGCTGATAGTAGTATTTTATAAATTAGGGTCATAAAATCCAGCCCCAGCTAAAACTTGATTCCCACCAACAATATATAAAACTTTTTCTGAGTATTAAAAAAAAGTAGATAACAAGAATTTGGTGATTTACTGCTTGAGCTTTTTAAAGGTCATAAAAAAAAATTTTTTTTTTTTTTTTTTCATACAACAAAATAAAATTTTTATATGATTTAAAGAAATGATTAATGATTAAAGAAAATGTGATGAGAGGACGGAAGACATAATTGACGTTTATCAAAGGAGGAAACTTTATTGCTTAAAAGAATGAATCTTTCAAATGAAAAAAGGTTTAAAAAAGCATATTATAACTTGTTCAAATTTTTTCAAAATGGCATATCTACTCAGTTTTGTATTTGAAACTTAAACAAAACATTTTCTAAAGAATTCATGAGTTTTATTTTTTAATCTGACATATTGAGCAGATATGCCATTTTGAGAAAATCTAAACAAGTGACAAATAGAATCTTGCTTGATTGTGAAGCTTTTCATAGCTGAGTAGTTAAAGCACACCATATCAGATGGTTGTTCCTCCTGCAATATGGGATGCAGGTTTGAATCTTGCCGAAGAGCACATTTTCTTTAATAAGTCTTCAGTATGCAGACCAGTAGATGAAATAGTTTAAAATAAAGCGTCCTCACAAATACGAGTATTCACTAAAAAATATGTTTGAAGTAATATATATATAAGACAACAGGAAAATTATTCTTTATCAGAATATTTTGTCCTCTGATAAACTTTATTGTCTTTTTACAGATATATTTTTATTTATATCATTGGGAGTGGATAGGTTTGCTTATTGTTCAGATCATGCTCTTCACCGATCTTTTAAACATGAGTAGAAGTTTATCGTTTGTTTCCTGTTTAGGATTGGGTTTCTTCTAAAGTCTTTCATTCTCTTTGACTCCTAGTAACCCCTTGTGTCTTAGTGGCATTATCACATAGCTTGAGAGTGAATTGATTAAAAAAAAAGTCTGAATTTTTACACACATACATACATACATACATATATTTATATATATATTTCTTTTTTCTTTCAGACTGCTTCTGAAGATGGCTGGCATTGTATTCTTGATGCAATAAAATGTGCTTCATGTCCAACAGACAGTATTAAAGGTTAGACTCTTTGGAGCCATTACATTATGTACCAGTATTTTAGTGATGGAATTGTTTTGTTTGTTTTTTTTTTTTTCATTTGCTTTTTGAATCGAATAGACAAATAAGAAAGTTCTTATTGATGTTATAAACCTTGTGAGTAAGAAATTTATCAACAAAAATTGGTTATCTATTAAGAATCCTAAATCAGTATATACAATTTGAAACACGTTTTAGCCATGTAAAAGGATTAAACACAAACTGCAAGAAGACAGAATGCATGGTTGTTAGCAAAAAGATGAGCCCAAAATCAAACTAGTACAAAAATTTAAATTATGACCCTGAAATCCAAAGATGCATTCCAAAAGTAAAGCAGAGTATTAAGTGACAGAAAAACTTCATTAGAAACAAAGACAAGTGTAATGAACTGTTATGAACTATATTTTTTCTGAGAATTATGACAAAACAAAGTTTTTAAATTGACAGAACCATCTTTTTTTTTTCTTGTTTTTTCTAACTGATTCAATAAATTTAAAACAAAAACAGTATTTAAAGCAATCGTTGGCAAAGGTCAATGAGTTCTGATGCATCAAATAAATTAAAAAAATAAAAACAATCCAAGAAAGGTGATATTGATGTCTATTTCATGCCACCCACACATCACATCACCCAATGAAAAAGGGGAATATATTGAATTTTTATTAAAGAACTGACCATTCAAACAGCATGTTAGCAAGCAATGGACCATATATGTGTTCCACTTGAGGTCTGGGGTGGAACTTGTATATACGACCCATCACTAAAGTTGCTGTAAAAATGGTCAGTTCCATTTTATTCAATTTTCATATATTATTAACAAGTGCCATTTGTTTCAATTGACAAATATCTAAAAGTTGTTGCTTTTTGTGAGGAGGATAAACTTCAAATGGAAATTGTCTCTAACCTAGGAAAATCCTTCTGTAGTCTGCAACAATTTTATCAATAATGTTCATGAGGATAAGTTTTTTTTTTTTTTTTTTTACATTGACTAAGACCTTGTCAACACAAATTATCTTAATGTATCAAAAGAAAAAAATCGTCATTGAATGAAACAAACACCAAGGAAAAACAGCCTAACAAATTTAATTTGACTTGAATTTGACAAATATTGTAGATGTTGATACTATCAAAAGTTGTCTTTGACAGAATAATTGGTTAAATAGGGGTTGAAATTTGAAATTAACAACAAAACAAATAAAATGGTGCCAAAAAATCATTGTGACTAAAATGAAAGTGAATTTTTTTGTTGAAATGAAAAAGTTTTTTTTTTTTTTTTGTTTTTTTTTTACAGACAAATGTTGAATCAAACTCTTATCAAATCTAAGACAATAAGTGAAAACAAATAATCTCTAATTCACAATTTAGTGGAAAACATACAGTGGAAAGTGGAAAACACTCAGTCCTAATTACAGTATAGGAATCGACATGAGATAAAAAATGTATAGGTATTTTATGCAATGAAAATTTAGACTATTAAAATTGTTATGACGTTGATTTGGGGTTAGTAGAGACAAACGCCAAATAACACGTAACAATAAAAAGGGTTTTAATAGTTTGATAAAAAGGTACAGAAATTGCCTGAGTAGTCAATAACTAGCTCAGCTAAGAACTTATGTCTATCTGTCTCCCCCATGTCAACTGACATGCCACTATTTAAAGTCTTTGTTCACAGACACAGACAAGTTCATCTTCAAGAGGGGTGGTAGGTTAATGACAACAAAAATATATTTGATAATGGGCATATTCCAAATATATGAAAATCTGTACATTTTTTATTTCTTTATAAACTGGTAACCGATAAATATTGCATTGGTTTTAATTATATTACTTTTTAGGATGGTGTAAATATAAAATTATTCTTGTAAATAAACAATCTAATAGATAATGTTTATTATTTTTGTTGTCAATTCTCAAGAACCAAAAATAATATATAAATTCACTTTCATTATATGTTTAGGTTTTATCACAATAGTAATCATTGCTTTTTACAACAATAAACGTTGCTGAGAAGCAAAGATAGTTAAAATAATAGCAGTGTTAAGGGAAAAATTGTCCTTTTGACACATTTGTTCACAGAAAAATTTGTAGTTCTTGTTAAAATTTCCATTTTTATGTATTCAAAATATGTTGGAAAATTTTAGATCAATGTTTTTTCATTTTTTTAGTGTCTCTATTTAAATTTTGGATTAAATCTAGAATCACACTTTTAAATTATATAATTATTTTATATTTTCAATGCACTTGATAATATGTGCTTGAAATATTGGCTCAAGACTATAAGCAGATCTTATCTATGTTTTATACAAAAAATTGAATTTTATATTATCCCTTTTCATGTTATTTTATTTGTTTGTATTGTAAATTGCCATGTGTACTTGTATATTTTTGTCTGTAAGTTTTGCCTTAATAGTTATCTTCCTTGCACTGTCAGCTTCCGATAACCATGACTTTGTTATGAGAATTGCAGACTGAAGATTTTTATAAAGTGAGATGAAAAACCAATTCTGTAAAAGAGCAGAGTACAACAATATTAAGTAGAAAATATATTTAAAAATTCACATGTGAAAACCTTTTAGTTTACTAGTAATAAGGACTAAACAAAGTATCTATTTCATATCTGCGATTATTTTTGACAATACATGTAAACTACTGCAGTGGCATAGCTAGGGGGTAGAGGGGGGCAGTCTGCACCGGGTGGCACTTTTGGTCCGCGGTGAGTTTTCAGAAAAGAAAAAACAATAGCATAATCTCAATAATTTTTGCAACAAAAAGCAGTGATAAGGAAGGATTCAAAATCAAATGAAGCCAATTTATCTTTGATATGACTGGCTCAAAGCCAGCCAGCCAGCAATAAAAAAAAAAATTGTCTCCAAAACGCACTGTCAGCTGGTGCGATAAACCCCACTTACTGTTATAAGGTGAGCAAAAGGTGTGAAAAAAAAATTGAACATTTTTAAAGGGCTTGATGTGGAGTTGAATTAAGTGAATTTAATTTAGTGAATCCATCGTTTTTTCACACCTATGTGAGAAGTCCACACTTTGGCGTCAGTTCTTTGATTTTGATTTTTAATGTTTGTGAAACATGAACATCTATTTCAGTTTTTATAACACTTATTTTGGTTTTTAAAAGTGAAATTAATTTTATCGGACTTTTAATTCTTAGTCTACTACTTTGCGAATAATAACTTCAACTACGTAAAAAACAAAATAATTTAAAAAGACATTGCATTTTTTACATTAAAAGAAAAACCAACTGTGTTTCTGTTAATGTGGCATTTTTAATTTTGACTCCTCACTTGTTAGAATTGAAATAAATATTTAAAAAAAAACTGATAAATTATGAATTAAAAGTACAATGTGTTTTTTGTTTTTCTTAAGTAAAACAGAGAGTATATAAACACAAAAACAAGTTATTTTTTAATATCGTAAAAAGTTTTTAAAGTTTTCCTGATTTACAAAAAAAGAAGTAACGTCTTTTTTTTTTTTTTATATATATCCCCAGTTTTATTTTTTTTTAAAATAATTAATAAACACAGTTGTACTTTTATTTCATAATTAGTGAGGAGTTAAATACCACGTTAACAGAAACATGGAAAAAAGTCCTGGCATTATACGGGCATGAGACTCTGAGAAATGGATAAAAATATAAAAAATTGATGGGTGTACGAATAATTTCATTGTTGACTGTAAACTTTAAGGGGTTAATGTGCATTGTAATATTGCCTCCCTTCTGGGGAGGGGCAGCAAAAACACTAACTGCGCCACTGAACTCATGCATATTACCTGAATCCATTCCCTAGAACTAAAATGAAGTAATAAAATACAAAGTCAATTCAAAATATAAGAATTGTTATTATCTTCTGTTCTGCCTTTTCAGTTCAAAGGGAAATTAATGGAAGTTTATTGAGGAACAGTCAAAATGAAGCAATTTGTGATTGTGTAAAATGTACAGGTGATACAATTCCTAATGCTTCCCAGGATAGGTAAGATTTTTCTTTTTAAACATAATTCAATCTGAATTTTTTTTAAATGAAGAAGTGTAGTTATTGCATGAAGGTTAAGACTAATTTTCTCATCTTTTTTTTTTTTAATTTTGTTTTACTACAATGTTTTGGCTGCATAAATTTCAAAATTTGGCATTTTTATAGAAACACACCTCTCCAAAAATAACTATTTTTTTTTCCAAATTCTTTTTAATATTATTATCAATTTAGCTTATTACATATATCAAGAAAATTTTCTAAATTTTAAGTAGTTCTTTTACCATGTAAATTCATTGTAAATTGTTCCCTCTATATGAAACCCACAAAATATAAAAGTACATAATAGAAATAATAACAGGAAAAGGTATTAGAATATGATTTAAATTCATATTTTGCAGTGGTTTTCAATTATTTAAAATTTTTTATATAAGTATTATTTTTACATAACACAGGAAAAAATCTAAGTAAGAATATATTTTAAATAACAGTAACTTTTTAATTTTAACTTTAAACTATTTGGAATTTTGTAAGGTAAGTGACAATATGCTTTATCATGTGGTATGAGCATAATTCTTTTGGCTTGTATTGGGGAATCAATTTACAGTTAATTTACATAGCAAACTAAACCCTCTTCTTAAAATTTAGAAAAATAAAAAAATTGATCTAGGGTACTTAATTGATAGTAATATGGGAAAAAATTGAAAAAAAGGGATTATTTCTTAGAGAGGTGCATTTCTGTAAAAACACCTAGCCTTCCTTCTCTGGTTGGTATAGGACTGATAAATGATAAAACAAAATGAAAAAGACAAAGTTAGTTCAAACTAACCTATGTCTTCTTGTATGTGCTATGTACCTTCAGGCCATTAGCATTTCCCATCCCACATGGCTCTTAGCAGTGTTACTCCCTTTGCCTTGTTCTGCCATCTAGGTAAATGCCCTGATACCTTCACTTATCCCACTTGCCCTCAATATGCCCTGTGAGAGTTAACTTTTCCAAGTCTTCCTCATTATGTGTCCAAGAAATTTCAACTGTCTCTTTCTGATTCTGAAGCATTCTTTATGGTACCATTTTCTTTAAGACTTCCTTGTTTACTCACACTTTCAGTATCCTTCTGTAGAATCACATTTCTGTTGCCTCCAGTTTCTTCTTCATTTGTGGTGAGATTGTTCATCATTCGCTGCCATACAAGATGTTTGATATCTAGCACTCTTTTTTTTTTTTTTGTTTCTAACAAAATTTTCCTGTTTCTTAGTACATTTTTAGTTCTAGGAATGTATCTTTTGCTAATCTGTCGTGCATTCAGATTTTGGTGTTGCATTTTCCATCCTCTGTTAAGACATTTCCCAAATGTTTAAACCTCTGTACTTGTTTGTTATTGATGTCTCCAATTCACAGTTTGCATCTTGGGCCTTTTCTCTTGCTAGCAACCATACTTTCTGTCTTCTTACAGTTGATTACTAAATTTTTTTTTCTCATTTTCCTTTACTATGTTGTCTAGGAGGTCCTGTAGTTTTCTTGTGTTTGTCATCGACATAGTGTTATTTGTACATCTTATATTAAGATTGTGCCCTTCCAATACTAATTTTTGGTAGTGTCTCCAGTTCCCTTAGGATAGCTCCACTGTAGAGGTTGAACAGATCTAGAAAGAATACACAATGCAATGATTAAAACATTTTGTCTAAAAAGAAATTCAAATAGTAGGTGTTGTTATTCTTATAAAATGATGTTTATATGGCTTGGTTGTTTTAAGCACAACATTTTGGCCATGGGTTTTTCTCGTTTGTCACATCTGATAACATACATAGAATATTGAGTCCTTTTTATTTTATTTTTTATTTTGCTCAGAGAGGATGAGTAGTTATTTACCCATCTCCTCATGGTGATGTGATGTGTTTGCAGACTGAGACACATCCTAATTGAACTCTGCTCGAAGACAGAGATGCAACTGACAGATGATATTACATTATCTGAGAAGATGAGTAGATTCTTCTCAGACATTATTTGTTACAGTTAGCATCATTTATAATTGTCACTTTTGATCTCTGCCTGACTCACACCTTTAAAAGAGTGAAACTAATAAATTACTCTAGTAGGTTACATACTATAGAGTGCTCAGGTAGCTTGAAGCAGCCAAAATTACTGTCTTTTTTTTTCTTTATTAGAGAGTTCCATAAAGGGATCATGTCTATACTAGGCTTATTTTCAGAATCCTTTGAGAGTAGCATATGTGCTATTTTTTATTTTCCAAATTTTCTTTATTATTTTAACTTGATTTGATAGTGAATGGTTTCTTCTGTTTTCTTCAATATATAGTTGACAGTTCCTAATTTTGTAGTATCTCCATAAACTATTGCATTGCAATGATCTTAGGTCATTTGATTTGTTATACTGGGTTACACTAATGAAACTGAAAAATAGTTCAGTTGTTTAAATACTTCAACTTTTTTTTAAGTACCATTGTTTCTTTTACTTTTAACTGCCATATAAAACTTCATGACTAGTATAAACTATGACAACTATGACAGTTGGTAAATATACAAGACAATTTACAAAATTTCAATTTGACATGTTTCAGTGATAGATCAGTGTCATCAGAAAAAGTATTTTATGTCACAAGGACAGTATCTACGTAGCCTGATGAAACATGATTCACATTAAGCAGATTAATGCTTGGTTTTTATTTCAACTGCATTAGACAAATTGTTTTATTATTATTATTTATTTTCTTTAAGGTCTATGACAATTATAACCATAAAAAAAACTACAGAATATATATTGGCCTGGTTTATGGATTGAACTGGAATAGAAAATTAAAACCATGTAAATGGTTCTATCATTAAATAATAAGCTCTTTAGTTAATGAGATATAACAAGGAAATAAGGGTAAATTTGTTGCATCAAGAAATAGAGAGCACATGGCATTTCCAAAATAGAAGTAAATGTCTGATTAGAATGTTTTAAGAATAATCAAAGTTCAGATTTACTTTGATAGATTTTTATTACTCTCTCTATATCTGTCTGTCTGTCTCTCTCTCTACACACACACACACACACACACACACACTCTCTATCTCTCACTATATACACCACACACACACACACACACACACACATATATATATATATATATATATATATATATATATATATAGAGGAAGCTGTTTTACCAATAACAATTGATAAGCTTATCAAAGAGTTATATTTATAAAAATTACTTAGTTACACTTTCAAGCTAATGATTTTTTTAATAATTTAACCTCAAGCAAGGCAATAAAGTCACTAAGATGCAAGAAGTTGGTTACTGAGCATGAAATAATATGGGAAAAAAGAAAACATTATTAAGGAGAGAGAACAATAAAAGAAAAGGAATTAAGAAGACAAAAGACAATTAACATTGCATTTAAATTTTTGAAGATCAAATTTAACTGGAAAGCAAGAATTGAAAAGTGCAAGAAAAGAAACTGTCAGCATAGAACTTACAGATATATCTATAGGATACAACTCCTATATCATTCCCACAAATGACTAAAAAACACAAAGTAGATTTGCACACCCGCAAAATCGGATCAAAATGACTAAAACAGATTTTGCAATAAGGTGTGAAATTAATTTTCTGGCCAATGAAAGGAGGCGATTTGCTAAACCCAAAAAAAAAGATAACGAGCCAGTGTGAAAAAAAAGTCAACAATAAATAGAGAGTTTCAAGTCAGTCACCAGTCAGAAGTGCGCAGAGATCATAGAGGACAGAAGACTGACAGTAAATTCCATCACTGACTCAACCCAACACTAAGAGCTGAAAGTGGAGTAGGAAAGGAAAACAACAACAACAACAAATTTACAACTGACTCCAAAACAATTCAACCTGATAAGTACATTTTTCTCTTATCTTTTATTTCTCATCCACACACTCTTTTTCAACTTAAATTGATTGCCCCTTTTTCCTTTACACCTATACAAAAACAAAAGAAACAGACATTACACTGCTACTCTGTTGAAAGACAGTGAACACAGACATTTTTGCCAAAATCCCATTTTGCTTGAACGAACTAAAGCATTAATCTTTTTTTTTTACCCTATTCACAAGATAATAAATATACAATGTTCTATTTTCTACAAATGTTCTTTATTGTGTTGTTTCTTCTTGAAATTTGTGTTGTATTTTGTGGGCAGGGTATCCCGTATTAAATTCTCCTTTTAATCCGGGTACACTGAACCCTACAAGTGATGACCAATCGACGTGAAATGAACTCGCAAATTTCCAACTGAAAAAAAAGCTTCAACAAAATAAGCAACATTTTTTTTAACATGTAACTATAATCATCAAGACACATAGAAAATGGATACACACACAACGGAACCTATGGAAGCCACTATAACAATTAACTTACCAACTTACAACCCAACTAACATAAAAATTTGGTTTGCACAGTTAAATGCAATTTTCAATGCAAAGAAAATTACATCGCAAAGTTCAAAATACGCCTACGTTGTCGAAAAACTTCCCGCTGATGTAGCATCCTAGGTAGTGGATCTACTTAATGACATGCCGGAAGAAAAACCTTATGACACGTTGAAAGCTGCAATTATTAGACGTGTCGATAAATCGGAGGAAAGAAGGTTACACGACTTATTCAATAATGTGAACCAGGGATATATGAAACCTTCACAGCTTTTAAGAAAAATGTGATCCTTATTAGGAGACAACACCATGTCCAAAGTGGTGTTAAAGAAACTGTGGATGGATAAACTACAAACACATACAACACAGATACTCGCATCACTCCCCGATGATTTACAGCTGGAGAAAATAGCAGAAATAGCAGACAAAATACATGACAACAACCAAGACAAAAATGTATACACCACATCACATGCACCAACAGATACAGCAACATTACCAGACAAGTCATCTGAATTGTCACAGCTGTATAAGCAAATGGTGAATCTCAGCTTACAAATACAGAGTCTGGTACAAGCACAGAAATCTCACCATTGTCAT